GTCCTTCTTGAGCATGTGATCAGCTGGTTTTGGTTGTCAGCAGCAAACTGGTTGATCCACTCTAAGAAGGTGCTATTTAAGAGACTGAGCTGAAAACAGCACCTCAGACTGAGGAAGTCTCTTGGATGAGAGACGAAACGTTTCTAGATTTCTTTTGCTTTGTTTTGCTTTTGTTTTTTGAATGTCCAGAGGACCAGATTGAACTTTTTTGGATTTTTCTACCTGGATTATTGAGCATGCATCAGGATACAAACACATGTACACATGCATATATATATACTTACACACACATGTACACCTCAGAAGGGAAGAAAAAAAAAAGGAAAAGAAGGAAAGCTGGTAGCGCAGGGGGGGTTTACATTTCTACATTACCACATTGAAGCAACAAACTCAATAAATGGATGCCATTTAGAGTAGAATTTGTTTAAGTTTCCAGATTTTGTATATTTAATTTTCTCCACTTTCAAAAAGGACATGACCTCATTTATCCACATTGTGCTGGATGGAGCTATAATTGATTTCCAATTTCAGAGAAGGTGGCGCCTAGCGATCACAGAGGTAAAAGCTATCACTTCCAACTCTCTTGAGGAGTATTGACTATATTGCTCCGGGAGACCAAAGATACCAATGTGAGCCGAAGTGTCAATAGTTCTCGAAAGTACAACAGACATGGTGTGAAAATAAATTTGCCAGAAATTTGTGAGGGCTGAGCAGGTGAAAAACATATGTGCAAGATTGCAGGGTGAGCTTCCACATTTGTCGCAAACATCTACCATATTTGGGAAGATCTGTGCCAGCCTACTTTTTGAATAATGACATCTGAATACCACTTTAAACTGTATCAAGGTCAGGCGGGCACATATTGAAATTTTGTGAATGGCTGTCAGGGCAGCCTCCCACCAATGATCATCAAAAACCAGCCCCAGTTCACGCTCCCAAGCTCTCTTAGTGTTCGTAGTTAGAAAGACATCATATGATTGAATCGAGTTATAAATCTTTGAAATTAAAGATCTTTGCAGGGGGTTAAGTTGTATAAGTTCACCCCACGGCTGCTCAGGTGGCCGATGAGGGAAGTTGGAGAATAAGGATTTTGCACAGGCCCTTATCTGGAAGTATCTAACCAAATGGGAGGGTGGGAGATCAAATTTAGAAGCCAAATCAGTGAAAGAGCCTGAGAACTGGCTGAATCTGTGAAGGAACTTAACAATAGCGGGGCAGGATCCTATTGGATCAGTGACATATAAAAGCAAATCATCTGCATACAACGATAGCCTTAGTTCTGCATGACTCCTGATGATTCCAATAACACTGGGAGAGGTTCTCAGAAAAATACTCAGAGGCTCTATTGCAAGTGCAAACAAGAGGGGCGACAGGGGGCAGCCCCGTCTACAACCTCTATTTAAAAAGAAGTATCCAGATTGGTTGTTATTGGTAATAATACTGGCACAGGGCTGTGTATAAAGAAGGCTTATCCATGATATAAAATTTTTACCAAATCCAAATTTAGTTAAAACAGCAAACAGGTAACTCCATTCAACCAGATCAAATGCCTTTTCAGCATTGCTTGATATGACAACCTCGGGTGCTACTGTAGTCTCCCTCGAATAAACAACATTTAACAAGGTGCGAACATTGTAATAAAGTTGACGCCCCTTTATGAAGCCAGTCTGCTTCTTGGAGATAATTGTTGGGAGAACTCGATCAAGTCTCTGGGCCAGAGCCTTTGCAAGAATCTGTGTCCACATTCATTGAAAATATTGGCCTATAGGAGATACAGAGGTCAGGATCCTTGTCCTTCTTTAAGAGAACACTGATAGAAGCCTGTCTTAGCGAGGGGGGAAGTGAGCCAAGTGACAGAGACTCAACATAGACAGAATGAAGCAATGGGATAAGTTTGGCTTGGAATGTTTTAAAAAATTCAACTGGGAACCCGTCGGGTCCAGGAGCTTTATTGTTTTGCATATTTTGTAAAGCCGCATTTAACTCCTGAACAGTCAGACCAGATTCTAGGTGATCAATCAGTTCAGAGTCTAAAGAGGGAAACTGAAGTTCATCCAGAAACTTATGCATATCAGTCAAATACGGTGGGAGTTCAGATTTATATAGGGACTCATAGAATGATGAAAAAAACAAATTAATAACTTGCATATCCTCCTGCAGGACCCTCGATGTATCTTTAATATGAGGTATTGAAGGTGAAGCTGCTTGACGGCGCAATTGGTGAGCTAGTAATCTGCTGGGCTTGTCGCCATATTCATAGTACCTAGCACGAGAATGAAGCAAAAGGCGCTCCGCCTCATTAGTTGTGATGAGGTCCAGCTCAGTTTGTAAGACCAAGCGACGCTTTGAATGACTGTCAGATGAGGCAGCTGCAAGCTGTTGGTCAACCAATTCCAACTCAGAAGTAAGCTTCTGAATGTTTTGACATCCTCAATTTTCTCACATGCGCAGAATATGAAATTATCTGACCACGTAGATATGCCTTCAAAGAATCCCACAGGAGCGCCCTAGAGATTGGTTCAGAATCAGAGTCATTAAAGGCAATGAAATCCTCTATTGCGTCCGTAATAAATTTGTGAAATTTACCATCTGATAATAGTGAAGTGTTAAATCGCCATTGAGAGGGATAGCGATGTCTGGGCAAAATCTGAAGATCGAGAGAGACAGGAGCGTGATCTGAAATAATGATTGGGTGATATGTAACATTTGATACTTTAGGCATAAGTTTAGCATCTACAAAAAAATAATCTATACGTGAAAAAGTCTGGTGAACATGTGACTAAAAAGAATACTGCCTACTGCTTGGTTTACGAGATTTCCAGGGGTCAGCACAACCATTCCCCAGCATGAAACTATGTAGGGTTCTACCATTGATGATTGGGTTATGACAGGTTTAGAACGGTCTAACTGAGGATCAATAGTACAGTTCATGTCCCCTCCAAAAATCAAAACACAGTTATTCAAAGAAGGTAGAATTTCAAACAACTTGTTCATGAAACATGGATCGTCAAAATTAGGAGCATATACATTAACTAGCAGGATGGGTACACGGAATAGAGTACCTAAAACTATCAGATATCTGCCATCTTTGTCTGAGATGGTTTTGGTCAATGTGAATGATACAGATTTACCTATTAAGATGGCAACCCCTCTAGCCTTTGAATTAAAACTAGAGTGGAGTATCTCTGCAACCCAAGGACACTTAAGTCTAAACTGATCCTTATTTCTCATGTGGGTCTCTTGTAAAAAAGCAATGTCAGGTTTCAAATGCTTTGAGAAAACACCCTACACCGCTTGACAGCACCCCCTAAACCTCGAATATTCCAGCTGATAAATTTTACATTTGAGTTGTTTGCATTAGCTATGTGAGATATGAATGAACACTGACGAGGCAACCAAATTCCGCCTCCACGCACCAGGTACAAGGATGAGAAAAAAAGAAAGAGGACAAAGAAAGAGAACAAAAAACAGGACAATATTTCTGAACTGACACATCCCACGTCCCTCATCCCTCCCCCAGATAGCACCTACCACTACCCCATCCCCAAACGATGGGATACCAGTACAAACTCCAAATAGAGTCATGAGCCTAAAGACTAAACTTAAGGTTTTGGACCAAACAGTCATCCTCAATTCACCCCAACTCAGTTGGAGCTCCCGCAAACATGTGTAAACAGAAGTGTAACTAATAACATCCATCCATCCATTTTCTTTACCCGTTTATTCCATTTTGGGTCACGGGGGTCGCTGGTGCCCATGTCCAGCAATCACTGTGCGAGGGGCGGGGTACACCCTGGACAGGTCGCATGTCCATCACAGGGCCACATAGAGACAAACGAGACAAACAACCATTCACTCTCTCACTCACACCTAGGGACAATTTAGAGTTACCAATCAGCCTAACATGCATGTTTTTGGTCTGTGGGAGGAAACCGGAGCACCCGGAGAAAACCCACGCATGCACGGAGAGAACATGCAAACTCCACCCAGAAGGCCCCTGGACCGGGGTTTGAACCAGGGACCTGCTCGCTGAGAGGCAGCAGCTCTACCAGTTGCGCCACCGTGCTGCCTGTAACTAATAACAGAGCAGGTATATTACATGTTGCCCAACCCTCATATGCCTTGGGCCGGCCCGGACCGAACAATACGAGTGGCTCCACTCACATCAAATTAAACTATGTAAAACCGAAATAATTCAAATGTGCATTACAGTCATCACTGCCAAAAGTCACTTTGGATATGCTGGTGTAAAGGAAAACCTGGCTTCAGCTATACTTACATTCAAACCAGAATTTAGCTTTAAGGTGGCGAAGCCAGTTTTATTTTATCTTGTGTTTTCACAAAGGCAGTTGCATCCACAGGAGAAGTAAACTCTTTCACAACACCTCCTCTAGTGATGCGAAGACAAGCTGGATGCAGCAGCCCAAACCGTATGTCCGGAACCTCTCTGAGCTGGCGTCTGACGTCGTTGAAGGCTGCACGGGCTTTTGCGGTCCAAGCGGTATAATCAGGGAAGACGGAAATTGTGGAATCCCCCACCTTTACCCGCTGCTGGGCTCTGGCATGTCGTAGGATATCGACGCAGTCTGTGTAGTAATGTAAATGAGCTATTATGGGACGGGGATGCTCACGGGGCTTCGGTCTGGCCTGTAGAGATTAGTGCGCCCGGTCCACAACCAGCTCCTTCTCCAGGCCGAAGGCACCTTTAAGCAGCCTTAAAGTCCGGGGAATATACGTTCCAGGCTGTGGAAGTTTCTTCCGAGGGCTGTCGCCTACTAACCGAGCCCCGCGGTATATCGGTCTCAACAGGCTGAGGCGGGGATGCGGGCGGGGGACCAGACCTCGCCACCGTAGTTGTCGAATTGTTCATATTTTTGGGCTTTGGAGGCATCTTGAGCTGTAGTAGAGTTGTTATAAGATTTAGAGGACAGCCAAAGTACACGAAAATGCCCAAATGAACCTTATAGAAAAAACAATTTGCAGGAGCTCCCTCCAACACGTCTTACTCCATCAGTCACAAAACCGGAAGTCCCTATAATATATATATATATATATATA